GCGCCTTCCCTCCCCGCGAACCCCTCCATTCCTTAGCAACAACACGTCTCTCTCTCTCTTCTCACTACAGCCTCACCCGCAAATACCTGGACATTCCCGTTAAACGCGTATAATACACGTCCAACGACTATACCCTATCCTACTCCACCACCACATCACGATGGCGACACCTTCACCGCAGACCTGGACGCTTCGTCTCAAGGCTCACAAGACCACCGTCATCCTACACGTCGACCCTCTACACACCTTCGATACGATTAAGACATGCCTCTACGACGCTCTACAAGAAACCGACTTCAAAAACCCCGAAACCGGCGAGTCGATACCACTACCTCCATCCGCGTCAGACATCCAGCTCGGTCGGCCAGTGAACATCAACGACGCAACCGAGGGTTTCGAATTAGGAGAATGGGAATATAACATTGGCGAAGAGGAAGAGGAGGGCGGCAAGGGCAAAGGCAAAGCGAAAGCCAGTGGCAGCGCCAACGGTGGAGCGAAGGCGGGCACAGCGAACGTCAAGCAATGTCCTAAGGGCGCTGGGCTGAAAGATGGTGCTGTGTTAGCCTTCCGATGGCCCGGCGACGGCAACTGGGATGGTGAAGATGAGCTCGACGTTGATGAGGGAAGACCTGGAAAGGCTGGAGATATGTGGGGTGTCAAGCTGGCGAGCTTCGAAGATGCGTACGGTGTTGAGAATGAGATGGATGTGGGTGGTAGACCGGAGTTCGAGGGATGAATGAATCTCGACAGTCGTTCAGACGGTGTGCTCACCAGGCATGGCTACAATTCGTTCCTCAGATCTTGCTGGGTTGGAATATGCATTATCTTAGCAAGTGTTTACTTGTCAAGATTTATTAGTATGTATACTGCAAACTGCGACAAGATTCCAGCCACCCATGGTATGCTCCTCGTTCTGCTATCTGGACCGAGCTGATCGGAAAGTAGGAATGAGTACTATGCGTACTCGCCATACACTGTAAGCCACTTCCTTAGCCATTCAGTCGCTGCATTGCTAAGCTCACCTCAGTGAGGTCGTAGCCTATCACGACCACCTTCAGCCTCGTGGCGTATCCAGTTTCGGTCAGCATAGCCCCGCTTCATGCATTGTAATCCTCAAAGCCATCAGCCTTTTCTTCCTTATAACATCAGCTCTTCCATCACCTGCCGTGCTGCTACACGCTGCATCCATCTCGACAAAAGATGGACGTCACGGCCCACCACACAGCGACACAGAACGAGAGCGCTTACTTCAAGCATGATCCTCTCGATCACACTAAGCCGTCGATCCGACTGGTTCACCTGCTCCCATCGCTGTCGCCTACAGGTTACATCCAGTGCTCCATCACGCATGCCACTGTCGATGCCGAGTACATTTGCCTTTCCTACTGGTGGGGAAAACCCGATCCAACGAGCAACATCTTGATCGACGGCAAGGTGTTCGCTATCCGTCAAAACCTCTTTGATTTCCTCGCCATCGCTCGTGATAAATCTGCGTTTGGTACACCTGCCACTCTAGGACCGTACTGGATTGATGCGCTATGCATTGATCAGAGCAATGTTCTCGAGCGTAATCATCAAGTTCGCCAGATGGGAACGATATACGCCTCGGCTAGACACGTCAACGTATGGCTTGGAACCATGACTTCGGACATACTCGCTGTTTTGTTAATAATACAAAAGGGCGAGCCCAACAAAGATGAATGGCGTATGTTTCTTAAAGGCAAATACATGCTCCTCAGACACATCAGATACAACGCATATTGGGATCGCGCATGGATTGTACAAGAGGTGGCGCTTGCTCGACATATATCTGTATGGATGGGTACAGTCCACATCGATTTGGAAACTTTAGAGCGGTGGCTGGGTGTATATTACCTCTCCAATGCCAGTTTCAAGGCCCAGCCGTTTCTCCTACTCTCCTACACTTGGAAACAAGATACCGAGAACAGTGGGACTTTAGTCCACCTGCTGGACCATTTTCGGCACAAGGAATGCTCAGACCCTCGCGATCGTGTTTTTTTCGCTTCTCTCGTTAGTCACTGGGTGTGGCAGAGACCTGGATATCAATTACGATGTCTCACGGGTGGAGCTGGCAGCAGATGTCTTGCGTCGATGTAAGAGCTGCTTCTGTTTCTGTACGGCTATACTGGTCGCACAAGTGTTACAGCTCCAGAGTTCAGATGCTCGTGGCTCGGAGCCCGATGTTCAGTTGCTACCCTGCCTTGAGGTCCCCGTGGTAGGCTTTGGAAGCGGCGAAATTCGATCTGGAAAGCGAGACGTAAAGCATTTTGTGCATTCATCTCCTTGTCTATCATTTCTCTTCACTGGATTCCTAGGTGAAGATGGACAAGTAACTTACTGGGATAATGCGACATACAAGTGGCACTTCTGGCCGGCACGAGAGAATGCCTATGAATACAGACCGACAGATGCTTCTGTTTGTGATCGTTTCATACGTGTTCCACTTCCTCTTTTCGCGACGTTGTTAGAAGAGCCTGTGGAGCTTTGTAAAGGCTCAAAGCTTGGAGGAGGTCATGGGCAAAAGCACATGCAAATCCGTTTTGCTGCCGGCAGTTCTGAAGAGGTTGAGGTTGACGTGCACATCTCTCCTGAAGAACTCCAGGATTACGCTACAGGGATCAACGCTTTGTTTCATAACATAGATTACGAAGCAAAAGTAGACCAATATAGGCCGAACGAGAGAGCTCGCAGCATCCCAAAGAATGGTAGGAGATAAAGGAAGAGCCATCATACGTTGAACAGCCCCCAACCTAGCTTTCTGTGTCGTTGCGTCGTAGCCTGGCTCCCTATGGCATGATTACTCGTTATCCACAGCCGTCTAGCATGTATACCAGACAATATTGACCCCTTCTAAGATTGGCCAAGACTGCACGTGTTCTCATGATCCGTTTCTTTGCCAACAAAGTCAGATACCACCGCCGTGCTTAAATCCTTGCGATTCTTTTTCGTTCATTATTTGCTGTACTGCATGTACATTGGCGAGGATTCAGTCTCACCGTCGTTGTAACGTATTACGATGTCACGCTTGCATGAACTTCGAATAAGGCAGGCGATACGAACAAGATATCAGCACGGTCATCTTCGTTGAGCATATTGTTCGAAAGTGCAATCTACCAAGGTAGATATAGGATATTCATTTTGAAAGGAGTGTGTTACAATTGTATATTACAAGCCAAGAAAAGTGACTAGTGCCATGCTCAAGAAGCATCCAGCAACCATTAAAAGAAAGGATCCGCCAGCGGATCCGAGTGCCATAATCCTTCAGCCTTCGTTCTCGTTGCCCCATACTGGTATGTTGGATACTTGGTGTAAGTCCTGCGTCTCGCGTTAGTGGAATTCCGTGCAGCTGAAGATTTGAGGCGAACAACTGGGATAATACATACGCAGATATTGTAGGTCAAAGCGTGGGTTATGGCGTGCTAAGAGGAAGAGGTCGCCTGAGTTGAAGCACCACCCTGGGAAGAGCCGTCGCCCTGACCACCTCCTCGACGATTTTGAGAGTCCTTCCCGGCTTTTTCAGCTAATTCTCGCATCTCTCGTTCTTTCCGAAGTTGGTCTCTCTTCTCTTTGGCACTATCTGACAATTTCTGCATCTCCTTTGTTTCTTTGTCGTTCGGTACCTTGAGGAATCCGCCGGAATCAGTCATATTGAGTAGTTAAGTCTTGTTTAGTGTAAAGAGCTGTAGGTTTGGTGGTGCTCCGTAGTGATGAAAATGTTCTTTCGGTTCTTGTACTGGATTGGGTTTTTAAAAACGACTGACAACGGGGTCTTTATACGATATCTCTACAGTCATTCTATGTGACTGAGGGAGCCTTTTCTGAGTCCTCCTTTCTCAACCGTCAGTGCACTGCGGTAAGGTAACGAAGTGTCAAACAGTAGCTTATGGCTCAGATCCGACTACCCAAAGCAGCCGTGTACCCACTCTTCAAGCTGAGTCAAAAGGCCTTGCTTCTTCTACGCACCGCTAGGAAAATGTGAAATACATCACCCTCGAGGCATTCTCTGATCTACAGACGTATGGTCTATATCGTAAACAGCGCATGAGAGGACTTTCTCCGTAACTTGCGCCATAGCCGATAGTAAAATGCTGACCTATCTCATGTACACTGCATTACCTCGAGTGGTCCTGGGATTCTGTTAGGGGACATCTTCAGAGTTAAAACACATGTGTGACTGAACTTCCAGGCGTATGGCTCGAACTTCAAGTAACAGATACAACAAGTTCAATCATTGACGCATTCTCGAGCACTTCGGCGTTACTCTCGGAGCAGAAAGTGTTGTGAAGTACGGCGTGGTGACGGTACGGCGGCCCATACACTCATCATTCCCAGGGTAATGACACTCCCGCTTCTACGCTTGACCCACAACAATAGCAAGTCGTCATCGGCTTTTGTTGGTTTCTAGTTCTAGAATCCTTTACCACGGAGTAGCTGAGTGAGAATCGATCAGTTACTGCCCAGGAAGACTTCGTCGAGTTACTTGACCCCACTATTCAGTCAGTGTCCTGAATCATGAGGCCTTAATAGCAGTAACGACTGTCTTTATTATCTAATATTGTTGATCTTAGATGCATCATCCTCGTGTGCTTGAGTACGTCAAACTTGTCGTGTTGTTCCTCAAATGCTTCTCAACCTTATGCGTGCAGTACAGAGTGTATTTTCAGTCAAACAGTAGCTGTACAGTTGCATGATCCACAAGCTACTGGTACTGATAGAGAAGCTTGGTGGCTTCGTACCGCGTCAGTGTGTGGCTATAATGCAGTAACATCTACCGTGCCGCAGTGTTGCATGATCTAACAATGCGCTATGACTTGAATCGATTAAATCTTGGACGTGTCATAGTCGGCCCGAAACGAGGTTTCGCACGTATGCATTGACTTCTACCACATTTAAAGTCCTAGCTACAACACCATTTACTCCACCAGTGCACACTCAAGCCTAAAATTTCCAGCCCTACTTTCAACTATCCAACCGCAGACATGATGTTGTACGATGAAATAGCCCAGGAAGATGCAAAGCTGCTACTCGAGGCATGGGGAAAAAAGCTTGACGCAGCGCAGAAAGAGATCGTTGACTTCGTCATCAAACGAGTGGGAAGTGATGTCGCTGGAGAGTTTGGTGGCTATCTCAAAGGATCCTACAACATCTGTCTGGTCGTCAACGTCAACATGAAGCCCACATACGTGATACGCTTTCCACAGCCGGGAACAACGGCAACACCTTTCCTGGATGAGAAGGTTCGAAATGAAATCCAAGTCATGGAATTGTTGCGCCAGACCACGATACCCCTGCCGAAGGTGTACAGCTGGGGGTTAACCAGCGATAGCCCATCGAATATCGGTCCATTCATCATAATGGAGTATGTTGAAGGCGGACGATTGATCGACGAGATGCAACAGCCTATCAAGACCGACGACGGTGTCGAAATGGATCTCTGGGAAGATTTGGGCAATCCAAGAGTACTTCACGCCTACAGCCAAATAGCTGACTATTTGCTGCAAATCTATCAACTGGACTTCGATGCTGCCGGTTCTATAAGCAGGAGTGGCTCAAATAAGTGGGTAGTTAGCGAGCGGCCCTTGACTGATAATATGAACATCTTGGCCCGGAATATTCCAAATTATCCAACTCAACACTTCCCCGCTACCACCATTTCATCTCCGAGGATGTACTTCCGACAACTTGCCGATCAGCACCTAGCTCATTTGCACACCCAACGTAACGCCGTAGAGAATCGCGAACATGCTAGACGATGTTTCATCGCTCGGCACCGCCTCAAACAGTCTATCGACCAGTACCTATCTACCGCTGCCGATACCAGTCCATTCAAGCTATACTGCTGGGACTTCCATCCATCGAACATGATCGTAGACGAAGAGTTGAACATCAAAGCCGTACTGGACTTTGAATTTTGTACCGTTCTGCCCGCAGAGCTCTCCCACGATCCGCCATGGTGGCTTACAATACTGCGACCCACTACTTGGATTGACAACGACTTTGATTTTGGAGCATTGAAGGCGAGGCTCGAGCCGCACATCAAACAGTTCTTACAGGTGATGGAGAAGAAGGAGAAAGAAAAGGGTGGGTCGGTGGCACTACTATCCGCCCGCATGCGAGACTCATGGGCATCTAACAAATTTTGGTTCAACCTCGCCATGAGTGACAGCTGGAGTATTGATGCTGTGTATTGGGCTGCGCTGCATAAGCCAGGTGATGAGGTGCTAGACAATGTTCTGAAGGGCGAGATGGAGGCATTTGTGGAGATGAAGATGGAGCAGTTGGATGCATATAACGCGGAGTGTAAGGAACGTGGACTTTGAGACCCGGAGAGTATACGGGGATGGACTGCGAGTTGGGCTTTGAGTAAGCGCCCGCTCGAAGCGTGTTTTTGCGAATCTGCTTGGGTGCTTGGCGACAGTGAGAATGATGCAGCCGATACAACTCGGCTCTTCGTTAGTCTCATCGTCTAGAATTCGATTCCCCGCATCCCAGCTTCCATCAAACATGCTGTTTAAATTTAAGGTGCGGGCCGGAAAGCGTCCTGAAGTCCCCATGATCATTTTGTTACACTAGTTATTGTGACTACCTAGGTAGGTTAGCATGGTTCCTGTCATCCCGACAGCGAGCCAATGGCAAAGTCGACGATATAGAGGACTACGATGGATGCGGCAAACGACCGAAGCGCTTTACATTGTTCAGTAATAGTTTGTATAAAAGACGGAGGCACTATGGTAGCGGGTGCCCGGAGCGGGTTGATGCAGCTAACGGGTAATGTTCCACGAATCTGGGGTACGGTACTTGTGGGCTACATGGGTATGAGCCGGATGTGCTAATGCCATGCGGCTCGCGAAACTCGTGAACGTGATTAAGCGGACATCGTCGTTCTTCTTGGGACCTGCCCATGTGGTCAGTCGAGCGCTACAGGGTACCTACATGCCGACTTCGATCCAATGAAGTTCAATACAGCCCAACATCCATGTGCGTCCCGGGAGATTGCCTACAACCGAGAACAAGAGATCGTCGCGTCCATCGAGGCCATCGAAGATCCGCTAATCATGCGATGTTGGAGGGAAACGTGTATATAGCCAGGAAAGATGAACTTCCAAATGCCCTTCACTAGGTCAGTCAATCGCACACGATTCGATCTCTACTTCTTTTCTCTCCAAGACCTTTCGAGAGACAAATCTATCAACCATGTTGTCCAAGATTGCATCTCTTCTCGCTCTTGTGGCCAGTGCAAATGCACATGGCTATCTCTCTTCTCCTATGAGCAGGACTGGTCTGAATGCCCAGGTAAGTTATGGCGTCCAGTTGGGGACATTAGAGGTATACCCCGTGCAGCCGTTAACACGTTACAGTCTGGCGCTGATACATGCCCGGAATGTACCATCCTCGAACCTGTTACAGCGTGGCCTGACCTCGACGCCGCAGCGGTGGGTCGCTCAGGCCCTTGCGGCTACAATGCCCGCGTATCCGTCGACTACAACCAGCCCGGTCCTCGCTGGGGTTCGCAACCTGTCATCACCTACAAATCCGGTGATGTTGTCGATGTACAATGGTGCCTCGATGCCAATGGTGACCATGGTGGCATGTTCAGCTACCGCATCTGCCAGAATCAGGCTCTTGTAGACAAACTTCTGACGCCTGGGTACCTTCCTACGGAGGCCGAGAAGCAGGCTGCTGAAGACTGCTTCGAGGCTGGTGAGCTGAAGTGCACTGATGTCGCTGGACAGACGTGTGGCTACAACTCTGACTGCCAAGAGGGTCAGCCTTGCTGGAGGAATGACTGGTTCACATGTGAGTACATCTCAACATCTCGGGATAGTAACGCGATACTGACACTAAGTAGGCGGTGGCTTCAATGATGGCTCAAAATGCAGGAGCGTCGACAACGCACCACTCAATTCGTGCTACACCAGCATCGCAGGCGGATACACAGTCAGCTCAAAGATCAAGATCCCCAACTACTCAAGCAACCACACGCTGCTGTCGTTCAAGTGGAACTCGTTCCAAACACCGCAGGTTTATCTGACTTGCGCAGACATCAAGATTACTGGCAGTGGCTCAGGTGGCTCACCCCCACCGGCTTCGAGCAAGGCTCCCGCGTCTTCGACGAAGGCGACTTCAACCTCGACGGCGGCACCTACTGGGTGCGCATCGCCTGTATCCACAGTAGCTGTGACGTTCAACTCGAAGACCACGACATCGTTCGGCCAGACTGTCAAGATCGTTGGTTCGATTGCCCAGCTCGGCAGCTGGAACGCAGCGTCTGCGCCTGCGCTATCTGCGAGTCAATACACCACCGCAAACCCGCTTTGGTCGACAAAGATCAACCTCCCGGCTGGTGTCAGCTTCGAATACAAGTTCATCAAGGTCGAAAGCAGTGGTACCGTGACCTACGAGTCAGGTGCTAACCGCGTGTATACCGTGCCGAAGGGGTGCTCGAGCGCGGCCACCGTTGCTAATACGTGGAAGTAGAGCCGCAGGTTCCGGAGAGAGAACGAATGTTGTTTGCTTTCTTGGTCGTATTAGAACGGCATGGAATGTGTTGGTTGTTCAATGTAGCAGATAATGCCAAACACTTGCTGCAACCCGTCACGCCCACCGACAGCGCTCGCGATAATTGATTATGTAGATGCCCCAGAAGGCTTCAAATTTCAATGGAAGAACCCTAGGTTCGAGGCGCATAATCTTCGTCGTGAGATATGAGGATGGTAGGTTTTCGCAATGGCTGGCGACTGCCACGCCGTGACGCGACATCCTGACGTGACAACACTAGACTGAAATCAGGCTAGCGCTTGTTGACACCAGCCATCGACACGAAACCGCTGCCTCCCCTACTCAAACCCTCGCATTACCCTCGACCCTTGCATTTTACGTATAGCTGCCTTTCGAATCGCGTACTTTGATATCACAGACACACACCGCGTACATAATTGTCGATCTCAATGAAGACCGAATTTGACAAAATCGCGGAGGAGGCTGGGAATGCTGAGCTCGCGGCTTGGGCTGCGAAGGTAAAAGCCGCGAACGAAGAGATAGTCACTTTTGTAGGCCAGAAGCTGAGGACCAATGTTCCAGGAGAATTTGTCCAATACCTTCAAGGTTCATACAATGTCAATCTTGTCATAAGTTTCGGCACAGAAGACACAGTAATCATTCGTTTCCCGAAACGGGGGATAACTGCCGCCAAGTTTCTCGAGGAAAAGGTCAGGAATGAAGTTCGGTTTCTAGAGTATCTGGCTGAAAAGACTGTCATACCTGTCCCCAAGATACGTGACTGGGGAACGGCTAAGGAAAGTCCTTCTCAGCTTAGTCCATATATCATCATGGATTATATTGAGGGCACAGAGCTGTCGGAACTCTTGCAGCAGCTTCAAGACGATCACAAAGAAGCAGAAGTTGATCTTGTATATGAGCAGATAGCCGACTACATGCTCCAGATTTCGCGACTGCACTTTTCGGCCATTGGACCTGTCAACAAGGATACGTCGGGAGCGTGGACGGTGACTGACCGTCCCCTCACCACAAACATGAACAACCTAGCTTCTGTCGTTACAGACTACCCGGTAGATCAGTTTCCTAAAGTCGCGTTCACCAGCACCCAAGCCTTCCTTCATTACCGTGCTGACGAGAATTTGCTTCATCTCCAAGTTCAGCGAAACCTTGCACATAGTACTCAGGATGCGGAAAAATGCTTCATCGCACGCCACAGATTCAAACAGTTGATTGAGCGATTCTACCCTCCATCGGAAGCCGACAACGGCCCATTCATACCGTATTGCCATGACTTACGTCCCAAGAACATGCTCGCTAGGTACGAGGAAGGATCACTGAAGATCGTAGCGGTCCTGGATTTTGAGTATGTGAATACCATGCCTGCTCAATTCGCTTATGACCCACCATGGTGGCTCGCCATGGTCAGTCCTGGCCTTATGCTCGAGAAATTCGCCCTGGAAGACTTCGAAGCCTTATACGTACCACGTTTAGAACAATTCCTCCGAGCCATGGCGAGGGCTGAGGCGAAGCAGAAACCAAGTCAGCAGAAAGAAGCAATCTCTCTGGCTAGTCGCATGCTAGACTCTTGGGCGTCAAAGAGGTTCTGGTTCAACCACGGAATCAGGAAAGGCTGGGATGTTGACGTGGTATACTGGAGCGCCCTTCATGAACCGGGAGATGAGGAGCTTAGCGGGGACTTGGAAAGGGAGATGAGTTTAATTGCTGAAAAGAAGATGGAGCAATTGGCTGCGTACGAAGCCGAGTGTGACGCACGTGGGATAGCGCAAAGCGGCTGATATAGCAAAGAGAACTGTAGTGATTGGGTTTTTCGTTATGCAAGCGTATCCATGATCTGTTTAGGTTCTCAAAGGTGTTTGTGTAGTCAAAAAGTAGGTCCAAAATATCTATCATCTTGGAACCACTTTTTGACCACACAGACACCTTTGAGCCAACGCATCCATGACCTCCTCAGTTACTGTCATTTTGAAAACGCCACCAAACGCCTCGCCATGCTGAACTCCCAATGCGAACTAAGGCAAACATCCCCCATATCCCTGCGCTAAACACACTGCTCTGCAGCCGAGTCACATACTTCATACTCACAGCCGTCTCCCCCTGTTGTCTTCACTAGGACTGACAGTCCCACTTCCGTTCATCGACCTATAGCCATTCGCTCCTTGACTTCCACTGGCAGCTGGCATAAGCGACTCTCTTGCTTCCTCAGCCTCCTCTTCAATGTTCTCCCTTTGGATCCTATGGCTCTTTCGCCACACAAACGCCACAAGGGCTAGACCGACGAGCAGCGCCAGGCTAAGCAAGATGACGTTGATAGGTACAGGGTCATTCTTGAAGGTCTTGTGTGTAGCGGCGTCGAGAGCAGATTGAGAGAAGTTGAGGACACCAGCGAGACAGATGATGAGGCCGTAAACTTTTCCGAAGGTAGCGAAACCGAAGACTTTGGCGGAGTAGTCGCTGGCAGAAATGTTAGCAAGTAGCTTGAGAGTGAGGACGGGACAACTTACGAGACTGCGGTGTAGTACAAAGGTCGGTAGAGCACGAAGAGGACAATGTTCGCATAAGCGGCCCATGTCTCCGGAATCACGCCTAGCACACCAATTGTGGTAGCAACGGTGACGAGCAGCGCCATCGTAAAAGTAGTGCTTGTGTTGTCGAGAAGCAGACCAATGAACGGTACAGACAGTACTCCACCAACTGGAAGCGCGACATCGAAGAAGTTGTTGATTTCGACAGCCTTCTCGTAGTCATGGAACAGGTACGTGTATTGCGTCCGAATCGTGGCAACGAAGTAGTTGATACGCGTCATCTGCAGCACGGTGAACAGCGTGATGAGAATGAACCAGGGCGTGCGGATCTGCTGGCTGGCGGTGCGACCGTGTAGCGCACCCCACACACCTGAAATGTTCTTCTTCTTGTCTTCTTCTTGTGCCTGCTTCTGACCATCTTTTGTGCCAAGCAAAGACGTAATCTCGCTAACAATGCTATCGCGGTGTGCTCGTCGCGCATCTTGGAGGCTTCGAACAGTTGCTGCGTCTTCAATCTCGTCGTCTGAGTCGTGGATGACCTGCTCTTCCTCCGCACTAGTGACGAGTTCACCAACCGTCTTGTACGATACCGATGGCATGAAGAGAATCTGAACTGCGAGGATAAATGCTGGGACGATTAGGTAGATAAGGAAGAACTTCTTGATCGAGAAGTTGCCATCTGTGCCTTGGTAGATGAGTCGGTACATCAAGAAGATCGCGCTCGAGGTGTCGAAAGCTCCAGTCAAAAGCGCCAAGATGAGTCCAGAGTATTGCGGAAACGTGTTGCTAAGCTGGAACGACGAGATGAAGATGAATGGTCCACCCAGCGCCATGAACAAGTATCCAGGGATAAACGCGTCGAAAGGCAGTTCCTTTGCGAATGCGAAGAGCAATGCGCCAATCGTTATAGATATCGCACCAGTTACTCCGCATACGCGTGGTCCGAAGCGATCGAGGATGGTACCGACGGGAAGCGCGACGACGTTCGTAGAGACGGCAGCGATCGTGAACATGAGGTTGAGCCGGAGCTCCTGCTCGTAGCAGACGTGTACATCCTGATCCAGCTCTTCTTTGGTGCAGTAATCTCTGTAGACACCTTCTTCGAGAAGTACGGGTTTTATCGCGGCGTAACCGAAGACGACACCGGCGGCGAAGAGGCAGTAGATAACGGCGAAGAAGACCTGGACTACGCGACGTTAGCTTCTGTACACCCATGCCGTGTATCATGATACATACGCAGTCTTTTCCACCTAGGCACTTCGAATGCGCCTATCGTTGGCTCTACGTACACTTCGCCCGTTTGCTCCGTCCAGGTGCCGACTGGGTTGAAGCTCATCTTCCGGTGCCTAGAGTCCGGGCTCGCCTCTCTACTCCACGGCTCATGCTCCTCCATCGATGTCACTCGTTGCGTGAGCGACATGCTGGGCTAATATCTCCCCCTTTTCCAGAATAATAAAATATGGATAAGTCGTCTCAGGAATATGGCAAAAAGTAGCTGTCTTGAAGATCTCCGGCTCGCGTTCAAAGATTATCCGGGGATGACGTCGTACCGACGAAGCTGAGGTCCCTCAGAGAAGCAATTGGCCAACCAAACTACCTCAACAAGAACCGCGATCTCAAAGCCCGCGGATGGATATTCCCGTGGCACTGGAAAAGATGGGAATCAGGGTTCTATATACACAAGCACGGCGTCGAATGGCGTAAAGCGGGGACTAAATGGCCTGCAGCCGGGTGCATGAAGGCGCTGACAATCCGACGCGCTGGTTCGCGCGTGATCACCAAATGCTCGGCTTTTAGGATTTCCATTACGAAAACCACCACGTGCGAGCCATTTACATGGAGGCTATGCGCTCATTCAGACGATCTGCATCGAGTCTTACGGTCATCATTCACATTCGCGCACGTCGTGAAGTCGCGATGTTTTGCAGCTCGTTGGTGAGGCTTGCTTCACGCGACAGCCAATGAACGCGCGAGTCAGCCGCGGACAGGGAGCTTTGGTAACCGTGCAGATGGGATGGCATCAAATTTTCCTTTTCACCACCTCCGCCTGTTCGCTGAACGCCGATACACGATGGACGCCTCCTGCGGGCGTTTCCCGATGCAGTAATTTCGAAACTTGCGAGAACGAATGCGATTGCAGAAATTTCTATCGGTTTGCAAGGGGTGGAAGTATGCATCTCCGTCGGACAAGTCTAGATCTCCATGGTATATACTTGGCTGTCGTTCCTATGTCCCCTGGGGTTCCCAGGATCATGCCGTTCAAGTGCTATACTCGTGCTGACATCCTGGGCTCTGAGACTGGCATGCCTAGGTTTGCAATAGCCGGTGCAGCCGACCATCTAAGCTAGCCGATCATCATTGCGAATATTGCTATCATGTGTATACCACCAGTTGAAGTGATAGTGATGCACACTCGCTGTAACAGGTGGTTGTGACGTATGAATGGGCTCTGCAATTGGGCTTAAAAGCAGTACAAACGAGCCTCCCACGTACCTAGGTAAATGCCGCCGGTTACTCGTCGTCGGTGATCACACATACCCATCAAAAGATGACTCTTCTCCAGCCATAGCTTGCAATTAGGCACATTTCACCACTCTAGACGGTCTCCAACTGTACTAGGTACCAATCTGATGCAACATATCCATTTCCTGCTCTCCTCCTTATCGTACACTTTGTCTTGTCTATGATACACGACCGACCAATCCGGTACTTGAACGTCTCCAACCTCTCAAACATAACCAAGAAAAGATCACGCCCCGCTGGTAAAACCCCCTGACCTCAGTCTTACCATGCCTGCACTTGGTACACTCAACATGAACCACCCCACAAACTCCTACCATTTCCGTGCCCCACTGAGATATCACTTTCACAGTGATTAGTTCCTGCCGGGGAAATTGATCAAACGCCTCATGCCATTCGGCATAGGCGGCCGTGCAAAGCTTTGCTCATTCATCCTCTTCCTCCTAGCCTCATCGTCTTCGCCCTGTTGATGCTTTTCGCAGTACTCATTTGTGCTTCGATACGACTCCCCATCTTCCAACTTCCCGCACCAGCCTGGTTCTCGATTTTCGGGCCTGTACTTTAGTGGTTGGTGGTTCTTGACGCTGGTGCAGGCTGAGCTCGTTGCCCAGGCGACAATTTCCTTACACATTGGGAATGCGCAAGTGAATGCGTGTTTAGTGCACATTCTGGCTTTTGTAATGTTGGGAGAAATGAGTTGTTGGTTTGAGATGCGTGTTGTGGGTTGTGATAGCTAAGATATTCGTAGTACGCGCTGGGCGTCGTGTATTTCTTCGCTGGTCTTGAGTTCTGTAGTTCGTGTGTAGGATGATGATGGAATTTGATATGCCTTCTTGTCGTTGATGGTAGTGAGTTGTTCTTGTTGTATTAGCTATGCGGACGACCCAGGTCTTGTATATATAGCCGCTCATCTTGATTCTGTGAAGTTTTGTCGAGTGTTCGTCTATAGAATGTTGGAGGGGGAATTCACCGAGTTGCGTTGACAAGTCTTCAATCACATGAGCTTCAGAGTTTCAGACTATCAGTTGTTGCGGTGAGAATAGGCGTATACAGCCACCTGTGTTCATGGAATACTAAGCTCAAAGTCACTGCACAGACAAATATAGTAGACGACAAACCATACTCAAATAGGAAACGGACGCGTCGTCAAAGGGGCACTCAACCAAACAGAACGTAATTCACTTGACATTGACACTACCGGAATCGACAAACAAGCAGCTACGGCAAAGAATGCGACATTGGTAAGTGGGAAGGGCTGAGCATCAAAGCGAGGACAATCATGTGATACAAAAGTCAGTGTAATTGGTTTGATACAGGCAACTAGGCCCAAAACTATCCATTAGGATTATAGACATTCAATGTCCGAAGAAGAAGACAGAAAAAAAGCCGAGACAACTCCAAACTCCCTCGCAATGCAGACTATTTTTATAGTTTTGACAGAAAGATAAGGAAAGACATGAGTATAGGTGGGTAGAGGGGGTGGAAGACTGGCAGAGAGCGCTCTTGACAGGTCATTCCTTTTTTGCTGAGTCGTCGCGTTGGCTCGACACATTCGATATTGGGGGTTCCTCGCGTTTAGGCGTCCTCGACGGTCTTGGCGGGCTTCTTCATGTTGTTCTTGTACCAGAGAGTAGGGAGAAGAGCGCATGAGACGGTGAAGAGTACGCTAAGTCGTGTTAGTAATGTATCGAGCATTATGTGTGGCGTGAAGACTTACCAGAGAGCGATAGCCATACCCCAGACGGTCTTGGCCTGGAAGCAGTTGCTGCGTGTGACACCGGCCCAGTGGCCCAAGCTGGAAGTGGACTTGTTGAGGTTCTCCACTGTAGCAGTGACAAAGGCGTTGGCGTACTGGGCATCGATCTCTGCGGATGACTTGCCGATGACGTAGCAGTTAAGGAACGACATGGGCTTGCCGAGAGTGACTGCGCAAACGATGAAGGCGATGAGAAGGAGAGAGTCGACACCAGTCATGACGAGAAGGCCGAGGTTTGCTTGCGACCAATAGTAGCCTACGCTGACCATAATGTAGAGAGCAGCGATGCATGTCTAATGATGTTAGAAGTATTCAGTGAGGGTAGAGGAAAGTACATACTACGCTCAGAGTGCCGACGAACTCTTTGGGTGGCTCAACACCGGTTGTGACAATCATCTGGATGAAGTTGGAGCAGATGCCAATAACCAAGATCATGCAGATAGCCTGAAGAACACGGGCGCCAAGGAACATCTTGCTCAAAGGCATGGCGTTGTAGCTGGGGACAGGCATAATGGCGGATTGAAGTTGGTCGTCGAAAGGTGAATAAGGCTGAGGATGTGATGTCGAAGTAGACAGACGAGGCGATTAAGGCAGCAAGGAACGGATAGCGGTCTGCACAGCAGAAGAGAGTGTGATTTCGTAGAAAGTGAAGAATGAATGAGACCCAGATAGGAAACAAGGAAATAAGGAAACAGAGAAAAAAGACGAAAAGGAAGTGAGTTGTGATGAGCTGGTTGATGATGTGTGTGATGAGTTACTACGACGTTGCGTCCAGCACATCTTATACAACGAAGAGTTGGTTGCGATCTCAACAACAGATCGCAAAGGGCATAGTCAAGATTGCTGCTATTCTTGCTCATGGTGTGTCTGGACCACAGTCGTTTCATGGCATCTCGAGTAGTCGCTGGATGAGCCAATGAGAGCGCGAAGCGGCGGTATCTCATGAAATGGCCCGAGCTGCCGCACTGATGCACGTAGGCGCTTACAGCATGACGAGCCTAAATGTCAAGTCTGGGGAAGCCATTCAGGTGTGTAGAATCTAGGCGGTACCTGAAGCATGTGGAGCCATAGTTTGACGTCTAGATCGACTGGGTGAGAGGTGTTGTTGCGGGTGTTGTTCAAGCTTCCGCGGTCCCACATCGACCTCCCGCCCTACCTCGCGCGCGGGAGCTATGCTGGGAAAGTGTTGAGGCTCAATCAGATGCGAGGAAGGTGGAAACAATGTTTGAAGGAATGGTTCTGTGCTTTGGTGATGGCGTTGCTGAAGAAACGCGTGCGCTGATGAGAGGACAACGCGACGATGTGCGTCAATGCTCTGCTAACGGATTGGTGGTACCTCCCAAGTATTGGTTAGTTGACCCTTAGGCGCGATTCAGATAGTTGCCCGCGTTAAGAGCGTTAAGAAACGGAACCTTTGGAAGTGAGGCGTCCATGCTGAAGAGTTGTGCTGGACGGCTGTTCGCTGTCATAGCACAGCGCGTCCACCGTGCCATTGGTCGAATTACGCGATGCTGCATATGTGCAAGTCGATCAAGACCATCTCATAGTCAGGAATTTGCGAGAGATCGCGTACGAGCACCGAAGATGGGGGTTGTTCCTCTGATGTTGGAAAGGGAGAATGATAGGAGCTCCCCGCATCCAGCCCGGGTCAGCTCGAATGCGGCAGGTCCAGGCGACACAGCTCCCAGATAGCCAGACGCATACTCGCGGCTCTCACGCGACATGTGACTGATAACCGTTCCCGAGGGCCTCAGAGCTCCAGGGCTTCTTCTGAAGCTTTCTTCCATGATCACTGTATCATCTTCCTAATTGCAACCTCAAGATGGGTCTCTCGGAGTACAGACAACACAAGGCCGACTGGTGAGTTGCTCCAAGCTTCCAACACCCCACACCTCGGCCAATGCCACAAGCTGACTCTCCACCACCAGCAAGCGCAAGCAGTCGGAACGCGCCTCCAAGATCGCGACACTCCCCACGCCGTACCTGTCCCCTCTATCCTCGAAAGATCGCTCCATCCTTGGCAAACCTATCCAGGAGCTCGTCCAAGATGTCCACAAGCAAATCACCAGCCCCGTCGATATCCTGCGCACATACGGCAAAGTCGCGATAAAGGCGCA